ACTGGTGCGCCCCACTCTCGCTGTGGACGACCATATGTCCCCTCTCCAAATCACTTTTATCTCTATCCAAAATATACCCAAAAAGACATTATTTTCTTTTTTTTCTGCCTCAAATTAATTCAGTACCTTAGATGTTGAATGTGTTTGTCCACTTTGTTCTTGTAGGCTCTCATTTTTATGGCTTCTGTTAGTCTTTTATCTAACATCCTGTGTTTCATTGACATGAAAGTGGCAGTCCAGCCCTTTGTTGCCTTCCCATCATGTAGAGATACAATCCAATAGGGTTACAATCATGAGTGCTCAAGCGCTCGCTTTTTGGTTTGCTGCTTACTGGCCACAATCCAGGTAATACAGCCAGGATTTTTCTTGAAGTTTGGGTAGTGTGTAAACTTAACTTACTGTAAATATTACTAAAGTTAAAATATTACTACATAGATTATTTTTATAATATTTTTTGCAATAATATTTATTAATACTTCTGTTTTTATTACATCTTTTTTTTTTCCTTTTGTCTGTCCATCTGCCAGTGTAGTAATGAAAGAAAGACTCCATTTGACTGAATGCTTTGTAAAGCCTGTTTTACACGAACAGATACTGAATCAGAATTTTTGTAATTTCCTTCCAAAACAAAGACTATAACATTGTCACATTAATATGAACAAATTATGAATAATTTGCATGCCTCATTCCCGGCTATGCCCTGACATTCATATGGGTAATTAGCCTGCAAATATTACAAGTATTAACAGTCTGTCAATAAGCTTCATACAATTCATGACACATCTGTGATTTGAATTCATTTCAAATCACAAGCTGAGCATTTGGTGGGCTGAGCATTTGGTGGGCTTTAGGGAATAAGGCCCAGCTGTCCTGATACAGATTTTCGTTTTGTTGATTTTTTATTTAAATTTTAATTTAACAGCTTGTATTTTTTTTTTTCCTGCAAAGCGGTGATTTTAAAATCACAATAAGTTGGACCAATTACTAAAATCAGTGTGAATTTCAACATAATTTAGTGCAATTCCGAACCCATTTACCATCATCCGTTGAAAAATAAAATAACCTGCGGTCTCAAAAGCTCACTGATGCTGATTCTCTGTCCCAGCGAAAAAGCAATTAGATAAATTACTCCTTCATTACAAACTGCTCATTGCAGAGGTGTATGAGCCTTTACCACAAAGTCACATATTAATCTGTGAAAAATGCACAGGAATTGCTTTCCCTAATAGAAGACCAGTATTTCAAATTGCCGTTGACTCCCAGGGTTAAAACGAAATTTATGTTTTAAGAAAAATTATCCAAAGCCCCCTAATAGACTTGTCCTCTAGCCAACATGACACATCCTAGCTGACCTTTTAGTCATCTTCATAAACCATTTAGCACCATAATTTTGCATTTAAATCTAGCCTTGAAGCAGAACCAATCGCTGGTCTGTTTGGTCTGGAGGAAGTGAGGAAGATTTAGCATTGATTTAGCCTATAAAGAGCCACTTCATCTCTGCATCAGTGCTCCAGGTGACACCATAGAACCAGGATCATTGGAGACGAGGTTAATGTGGGTTAATTCTTCTGATTTATGCAATATGTGCCATTAAATGTCACCGTTAGCATGTAGCGGGAGAGTTAGTGCTGTTGAATGCAGCTTTGTTTAGAATATCTGACCTATATAAGAGCTCCTGGTAATGATTGTGTTAGATGAAGCCAGTTTTGAGGTGTTCTTCATTGTGAGTCACTCAAGTAAAGGGGTCTCTGAACTTTGATGTACTTTTCAGCTGAGCGACTGCAGAATCCCTTTGAGGAAGATGACAGCGGGGGCTCACAAAGCTGACTTCACGCTTTCCAATTCAAAAGCGTGCTGGTCTTGCAGAAGATTTTGCATCAGCATCTATATTTTTGATCCTTGAAGTACAACAGGAATGCCATTAAAAAAAACTCTCTGCAGTGATTTAATGTCAAATAATTTCAAGATTATTCCAGTCATGTTGAGAGAGGAATTTAGTGGTGGGTTTTAGGTATGGGAATTAAGCAAATTAATTCATGAAGTCTCTAAATTTCCTCTTTTTTTCAGTGGGAATGTTTTCACACTTTTTAATCCAGTGAATATTTCTCATGGTACTGTACGTTTATTACTAAAAGCCAGTTTCTGGATAGACACATTCCTTAAAAAGATACAGTTCACCAAAGACATGCTATTTTATTATTGTAATAATCAGGCATGTTGTCATATTACATGTGGTAAGCTGTCATGCTGAGAACCTGCCACTGAATAAACTATTGTAGGCTCTTCAGCTCAAATCAATAAAAAAAAAAACAAGACAAAATTAATGCTATTAAGTAGTGGTGGGCGGTATGACCATAAATTTATATCACGGTATTTTTCAAAATTATACCGGTTTCACGGTATATGATGGTATTTTTTATTTTTTTCTTCCATGCATGACCGGGTGTAAACCACATTTTCTACTGATTGAGAGAAGTATAAAAATATATTTAATTTTCACACATATGATGACCATATAAATGTGACAACTTTCCTCAACCCGACAATGTCTTCATTATGTTGTTGACTCTTGTTGTCTTAATATATTCCAGAATTTACAAAAGTATTCTAATTTTAGATGATTTTGAATTTTGGTTTGAAACCAACATACAAAAGCACTAGAGAAAACAAGCATTAACTTCCCTGTGTGACAACTAGCCCGTCTACCCTATTGCATAGGCACATCGTCTAATTGTTCATTTTTGTCTCTGAAAAACAAAGGATTCTGTAACAAAGCGCATTTCAACCATTCCCACCTGAGACTTTACAAGGAGCCCATCCATGCATTCAGTCTGCCTGTACGAATTACCTTTCCCAATGATTGTATGCAACAATTGAGCAAGGGACAAGCAGGAAGATGTTGTGGCTTGTTATTGTTTTCCGTCAATTGTCAAATCTAAATTAGTTTCAAAGAAAAGGAAATTCAGTTTCTGATGTGTTTTTTTGGAACAGCTTTGTAATGGTTGCCGGCACAATTTGTGATGAATACAACTCAGAGGGGGTCTGATAACTGCAGGAGCCATTAAAAGCACTCATGTGTGGCTCACGCTTAGCAAAACACCACCACAATTGGGCAAGAGCACTCTTCTGTTTGGAGGGACTCATTGATTTTGTCCCCATCTTTACTCCAAATCTGTTAAGCATTGTAAAATTACATTGCCGGTGATTGTAGATTTTATGTTTTGTGATTGAGGTCTGTCAGTGAGCTTTTAAACACAATGCAATCTTTAGTAAGGAAATCCTAAAAAAAAAAAAAACTAAGCCTGAGTGTTAAGCTTTGACCTCACTATTTGTGCAACAGACATAATTGATGCATCAAGTCATGCAACAACGCAAAAGAAGATATTTTGGAGATCGGTGTTTGTCCATGCACTGAAAATCAGTGAGATCCAAAATATCTGTGGACTTATTGAATTTCATTATATTGATGAACAAACACTGAAACACACACCAAAAAATAAATAAATAAATATTAAGTTAAATTAAATTAAATTAAATAATTGTGTTCCACAGAAGAGAGAAAGTCATACAGAATAACATGAGTAAATGATGAGTAAATAATGTCAGCATTTTGATTTTTGAGTGAACTATCCCTTTAAGAAGAGCGATCTGACTTACGACCACTAAATATTTTTTTATGTTTTAAGAAATGTACTTGCCAGCTTAATGCGTCTATTGAATAGCCCAGGTTCAGTATGTTGGAAGGTTGGAAAAATGTGTCTGTGGTGACATTTCTGCAAAGCAATATTATGTTGCGATATTCTTGCTCCTTTCACGACACTCTCAGCAAGCGAAATGTCCAGTGAGTGGCAATAAAAGCAAATTCAGTTTTATTGGCTGTTGTACAAATTGTGGAAATTTGGAAATGAAATGTCCAGTGAGTGGCACTAAAAGGTTAATGCTCTACTCTATATTTGAAAACAACGTACCACCTACTCTGAACCAAACCCTAAACTTAATGATAGTGTTAACAAAAGCAAACTTGGGATAAAAACACATTTGCTGAAGCAACCATGCCATTTTAGCATGCTTCTGCAAGTCTTTAAGCTTTTTTTTATTGTGACTCATTTTTCTTCACGTCACAGGTGAAATGGTGTACCAGGTGGGCTACTGAGCAAATTTACTACAGAAAAGCTATACATTTGAGGCATGGTTATGTGGCGCAAACATCAAAATGTATTAATTTACAAATCATGGACTATGGTACAAGTTGTCTTGAGGAGATAAAATGCTTGAAACTAAATCTTTATTAATTGGTAATCTGCCACTGTAATCACAATTTGTGTAAAAAAAAGAATAAAAGTTGCTAGTGTTCATTTCAGCTGGAAACATCAGTGAATTGTATGTGTAGGTATGTTTTTTTGAGTTGATATTAAAGTAGCTGTCTGGTAGACATTACCAAAATGGCCACAGAGTGAAATGACTTGCCTAAATGTGCCTTTGAAACCCACTAGAAAACCCTATAGCAACTGAATAGCAATGCACTGTGTATGTTAGCAACACATACACATAGCAAAGCATTGTGGTGGAGTATAAAAATCCAGTTGCACTATAATATTCAAAACACAGCAGGATGTCATGAATGTCAGTAATATGTGCTAGACATTCTTCCAGTCCCTCAGTCTCTTTGGCCCCTTGTTTTTGAATTTAACTTTCATCCTCAAACTTTTTTTTTTTTCATTTATTCTAGTCTGAGTCAGCAAGAGGCTCGAGCTCTCTCAATAAACAGACACAGTGGGTGGTGATTTAGCCCCCAGTCCAGCTTAAGGCTATTTACCACATCTGTATACTCTCTCCTCAAGGCTTTAACTTGGTGTGTGGTTTTCTGAGTGTGGCGTAAAATAGTTTTTTTAGGAAGAAAAATACAATCACGTTGAATGTGCTGCATATATTTTGATTAATCTTCAGCCCATTTTAGCATAGGTGTAATGTTTTTCTCGGTTTTCTCTTCTTTTTTTCAGATTTGGAAAACTTCAAAGCCCACAAGCGGAGTTCTGTGTCTGTCCGGGAAGGACAAGGAGTGGTGCTTCTCTGTGGGCCGCCCCCTCACTCCGGAGGTCAGTATTACTTCTCGCTCGTTCATATTTCATTTACACCTCATTTTTCCAGAGGAGAGGTCTTCTGGCAGTCTCTCGGCACTCGGTTGTCCAATCTGTGGATCATATAATCCCATCAGCATCTCTCAATTCTCTGACAGCATGTGTAGGCAAGCCCAGTTGCCCTCCAGAGACAGAGCTGTTTGTGTGCAAACCCACTTCCACCCTCACCTGCCTCCCTGTAGCGTCAAGCAGCATCCCTATACCGAGCGAGGGATGTAGGTCAGAAAGCCATAAATCATGATTGCTCTCTTCCTGAGTTACACAAAGACCCTGAAGCATCAAGCATTTCATCCATGCTGGGCTGCTCCTCCCTTGTATTTCTCCTAGAGTTTCTCTGCCGAATCTCATGTCTCTACCTCCACCGTGAAATGTTCATTAACTCTGCCATCACTTTGATGGCCTCTATCAATTAATCCAGCAGCATGTGATTTAACTGCTTATTAATGATGCCAACTGTGTTGCTTATTAGAAGAGGTGCTTTGTTAGCATTTATTGCACAATAGGTGCTTTTTCACATGGCCTTTTTGAAGGTTGGCAAAGATCCAAAGCATTGGTACTTTTGTAATGTGAGCTAATAAAGATTGTAAAGTGGGGGTTTACGGAAAAAAACAAATCTGAAAAAATATAGAACAGAATCCAAAAAGATTTCAAAGATGCTATTTTTTATAGATAATTATGTTATGTGCTTGTAGTGCTGCTAGTTGGTCTTTTATTCTCAAATGTTTCTTTGTCTAAGAGTTGGAAGTATATCATTAGCTCATTTGCTGGAAAAATGTGTGGTTGTCTTGTTGAAGAAATTGAATTGAGTCATTTTTTAGCAGTTTTAAAGCGTTACTTTGTCATGGAGAATAAATTGTAACCAACAGACATAACATGTACAGTATATTAAACACATTGTGTATTGTGTAAGCATACTTTTAGTATTTTATTATTACAACAACAACATTATAATATGATATGGAATCCTTAACAATATCTGTTTTCTGCAGATGCCACATTTATTCATTTATTATTTTAAATTTTTGGTTTAAGTACTTATTTAGCTTATTTAATTTATTTGTAAAGTGTATCACAAACTGTTTATTAAAGATATTTTGTTAAAGATATTTTAGTAAGATATAATGATGATCAAAAGTGACAGTAAAGACATTTGCGAGGTTAAAAACAAGATTTCTATTTCAAGTTGAACTTTCTATTTGTCAAAGAATTATGAAAAAAATGTTGCATGGTTTCCACAAAAATATAACGCAGCATGACTGTTTTCTACATTGATAATAATAGGAAATGTTTCTTGCGCAGCAAATCAGGATATTAGAATGATTTCTGAAGAATCATGTGACACTGAAGACTGGAGTAATGATGCTGAAAATTCAGCTTTGCCATCATAGAAATAAATTACATTTTAAACCTATTTTATTTTAAAATAGTAATATAGAAAACAGTTATTTTATATTTTTATAACAATTTACAATATTACTGTTTTTACTGTATTTTTGATTAAATACATTCAGCCCTGGTGAGCATAAGAGACTTTTCCCCCAGACTTTTGAATGGTATTTTTTCATAATAATAATAATAATCAATAACATTTTAATTTGTCAAGAAGCCAACAACATATGCAGCATACAGTGCCAGGTATATTTGGCAGCTGTATTAGGATTTGACAACAATTATGTATACAATTATATATATATTTTTTTATTTAATGTTTTATACTATAATATTAATTAGTCCATATAAATTGTTATAGTAGATATAAATCATTATTAAATATGAATATAAGAGTGTGTGCAATATCATTAGTTTTTGCTGAACTGATATTGAGAATCATGAAATATCATTCCTATTGGTATTGGCTATTGAATTTTTGGTATCGTGACAACCCTGTTAGAGTCTACAAATCTGTTGTACAGCTGGACTGATTCAGCGTGTACATAAATCACCCAAGATTTTCTTGTACAAGCCGTAATAGGTCCGGAACCGCTCATAAAATAGCGTTTAGTCATGAATAATTAATGCTGTAGTATTTTGACACTGATACACTTTAAAGATGTGTGTCTCCAGTTCTTGTCTGCTTTGGAAAAAGTGACTTTCTGTGACAGTTGATGATGACGTTGATCATTTATGCCATCCATCTCTTTCTCCCCCAAGTATCCTCCGCAGTCAAACTTGCCATAGTCAGTGGGTGGCGCAGTAACGAATGAATATCGCAGCATAGTGCTATTCATTACCTTCTGCACTCTGGGTCTGAATGACTGGCTACAGCTTTGAGGACTCATATGCTGCAGAGAACCTCTCGTCAGGAGCAGGGCCCTGCCTGCCAGAGCTACTGTCAGGGGAAGCATAAGGCAGAGAAGACAGCTGGCCCCCTGTTTCCTTATGCCGCCCGCTGCATGCCGCGGATGCGCTTGCACATGCTGATTGAGCTGTATATGATCCACTGGTGAGGGAGAAGGCGAGAAGAGAGGATTGAGGTGTGATTGGAGGAGAATCTGTGTGCTGGCTCTTATGCTGCACCAATACAAATGTGATGAGATATGTGGTCACATGCAGCAGTGTGAGCATATATTAGCGTACCAAACCTCCCGAGTGTGTATACATGTGTAAGCTTGAGACTCGGACTATGAAATGGAAGCAGATGATATCTTGCACATTATCTGCATTTTTGTTAGGTTAAATCTAAGGATGCCACCTGTGATACTCTCATCGGGTTGAGGGCTAATTGTTTGGAAGATCATAGTCTGGTAGAAATTCAAAGGCATGAGTTGTGTTTGCGGATAACGTTGATGTTGTTTGGTTGAAGGGCACCTAAACTGGCTTGGCCAGACTTGAAGACCAGTTAAATATGATTTTAAACACTATCATTGCATTTCCTCTTCACTTGTAACTTGAAAATAAGCAATTTAGTTATTATAACGGACTCTAAATTCCTAATTCAGAGTTTCTGCAGGTCTTAAAAAGTCTTCATTCACACAAATCAGGACATTAAAAAAAGGTCTTAAATTAGAGCAGAAAGTCTTAAATTGATAAAGTCATGGCATTAAATGTTGCTTAAAAATTAAGGTCTTCCTCAGTATTTTTGTCTTGTTGTCCAATGCAAATATCTAAACATCTTCATTAAATGCATCTTGATTTAAGAATAAGAAGTCTTGTTTTCTGAGAAATTTAACAATATTGAGTTAAAAAAGGCAAATATCTGTAAAGGGGGTGTGAAAACTTATTTTATCTTTTAATTAAGCTATTCAGTTTAGTCCATTGGGAGATATTTGTTTGAAAACAAGACAAATATGCTAAAGAAGAACATCACGTTTTGCCATTGGATCAGAAAGTACATTAAAAGTTATTTCCTTATTCTTGTGGTTGGGAGCAGAGCTATTCAAGCCTATAGTTTTTTTTTTTTTTGGTAGGAAGTTATATTTTCAAACTTGAAATGTTCCGAATGCAACAATTGTGTGCTCCCTAGACATATTTAACAAATTTAAAGAATGTATTATTTACATATTATGTTCCCTTTAATTGACTCCTTAATCTTAAAAAAGTCCTAGTCTTAAATTCACCTTCATAAAACCTACATTATACAAATAGAACATTGGAAAAGCAAGAACAAGAAAAAATAAGTAATAATCATAATAATTAAAAAAATTAAATTCTAGTTATAATTTAATTTTCTGAACAGAAATGTATAATAATATTTTCTATTTTTCTATTTATATTCAATAATATATATATATATAAGTTTACTAAAAAAGTAAAAGTATTTTTGTATTTTTTATGCAAGTATTTTGTAGTGACTCCAAAGTACACTGTCTGATTTTTGGTTAGAAAATGTATTTGCAGTGACAAAATACACTCTTTTATGAACGTTTTTAAAATGCCATGAAGCTCTTTTGATTGGTAATTACACTCAAGGAGTCTGAACGCATAAGATTCTATATATGTATGATCAGTGAATAAATGAGGAGCAATCTGGCACCATGCATTATGAGGCTTATTAAGTCATCATTCACAGGGTATTTCATCATACCCCCTTTTCTTAACATCTGGACATGCTGTGAATATATTAATTAAAGTCTGATACAGAGCGATTCAGAGTGTTCAAAATCAGCCTATGCTATATGAGGAGCAAATGGATTGGTTACCATATTTGTTTCAGTTATACAAATCAAAATTGACAAATAACATGTCATTGCCTTTTCCCCAGCATTTTAGGGTAAAATGTATGTATACATGTTAGTGAAAACTGAAAAGGCCTCTATTCAATGTTTTCCCACCGTTAAAATTATACTAACAATTTGGGTGAAAAGTTGAGATGACAGTATTTTATTTAAAACTCAATAATTTCTTAGTATTCTTAGTAATTTCATCCCCTTCTGACTACATTAATTCTGCAAGTTTGTATGAAACTTAATGATCGTGTTCACCAGCATTTGAATCCCAAGTTGTCAAAGTTTCCCTGACAGTTGCTCTGGAAAGTGTATATTTCAAGTGCTGTGTTTGGTCACCAAAACTTTGACTTTTCGTAACTTAAAAAAAAAACTAACTTCTTACATTTTCATGTTGCTATGGTGTTCTGCGTGGTTGTTAGGCGCTTGCTTACTGTCCCATGTCAAAAGAACCCATCATTGTAAGTCTATGGGGTTTTGCAATAGTTTGTGATGTAGGTGTGTGATGTGAGTTTGCAAATGTAGGTGTGATCATTACTAGCATACAATTTATCCTGCTTATATTAGTATCTGAAACAATGTTTAGTATTTCATTCATTTGTATGAATGACAGCACATAAAAGCTTTCATGAAGTGTCAGAAAGGGTTGAAACATTTCAACAACTTCAAAGCCCCCCTCCTAGCTGTCTCGGTGTCAGTAAACAGTGTCCCTCTCCACTGGACACCAGTCACACATTATGATGTCCCCAAGGCTTCCTGCTAACAAACACCCGCCCCCCACACACACTTCCTCAC